ATAATACCCACACATGTTATACAGCCAACTATAATACCCACACATGTTATACAGCCAACTATAATACCCACACATGTTATACAGCCAACTATAATACCCACACATGTTATACAGCCAACTATAATACCCACACATGTTATACAGCCAACTATAATACCCACACATGTTAATATTCCTTAAGTAACAGAACTGCATGACACTCGTTATGACATGCAATCAGTATTAACATAACTACATGACACTCGCTATGACATGCAATCAGTATTAACATAACTACATGTGCTTCATTTCAAATATATGAGCGTGTGGCATATAATTAATTTAACTAAGAAAAAACGCGATTAACATCGCAAGAGTTGGTATCGCATGCTATTTTTAAACTTCTTCGATAGCAGCGACATTATAAAATTTACAATGCTATTAACTAGTAAATTACTTCTGTTAGAAGGATATATGTCCTTCATATTAAAGATATGCCTCACATAGTATGCTCTATAAAGTAAATGTGCGTGTACTATCAGGATTCTCTCGATAAGCTATATCAATAGTATTGTATAGTTGTTCTACATTACTTTCTAATGTATTAACAACCAAATAGTTCTCTAAGTTTTCAGCTCATGCAATACTATATCGACTGGATAACACGTTAACAGTGCGTGCCTTTTAAATCAAGTATATTTCATTTGAATTAATTGAATAGTAGAAAAAGAAAGTTCTAAAATAAATGTCTGGCCAATATAGCATGTATACAAAAGTCAATTATCGATGTTTTTAATTCATTCATATAAATTTAATAAGTTGTAAACAAATAACTTAATGCGGGTTCAAGATATAATATAAATGTGTCAGTTGATGTCTTATATTTTATTTCAGTGTTTAAAAATACGTTGTAAATGTAATGAAAGGAGAAAATTTAAAATATTGTGATTCTGTTCTGAATAAATATAAGTCGTTATCATATGTATTAGTTATTGGACTCGCAGAAGAGATTTATAGCTCTGAGGTAGTGCCAACAGCTCTTGACGTTCCAATAAACACAGTATTTTTATTTTGTGCTCCAAATTACATAGACTACATATTATAAGTGCTAGGAGTCAAGTTAATTAAAAATACTGTTGCCAAAACGTGATTATAATTCTATTTTGAAACCTATGTTATTTCGAATTCGTGTGACTGTAGAAAGGCATAATGATATTTTGGTCCACATTTCTCTTCTCATGTTACTATGGTTCTAGTAGGCGATGACACTGGGGCAAAACAAAATCCCCAAAAAATGAAAAACGAGTGATGTAAATCGTGTTTCCTTAAAAGGCGTTGAAAAGAATTGGAAGAGTATTCTTTTGTACTGAAGAAAGGGGTTGTATGAATTTGAAAATTTTGTTCATTTTTCAGATCGAAAAAAGCAAATCACTTATTTAATTTCTTTTGAATGCGTCCTTCAATTAAACTCGCTGGCATCAAACCACTTAAAAAAAGTATTTTCCTGAATAACTTGTTGTATAAGATTTTTTTAAAGATGAAATATTTTCTAGTTATCCTCATACAATCAGCATTACTAGTCTGCCCCATGCTTTGAATGCATGAACACATTTTGTTTGCAAAATGAATAGTGCCAATTGAATCATCTTGAAAGAATATATTCATTTCCATAATTATGATTTTTTCTAATGAGCAGATGAATTTTAAATCTAGTTCTATATGCCTGTTGACTGAACCATTTGTCTTACCTAACCTAGCTTACCTAATCTGTGTAAGCTTATACACATGAAGTGTCTGTGACACAATTTTTTTCTACTGACGTTTACCCCTCCACAAGAAATAAAATATGAGAGAATCAATATGAGGAATTTGTTTGGGTCTTAGCAAAGAGCAAAGTAGTAATTGAGTAATTATGCTGTGAAATAAACAATAGTCTAATGCCATTAATCTTTCCTTTTAGAGCCAAGTTCATACTTTGTCTTGTACATAGAGTAACAGAGTTTTGAATTTTACAATGTGTTTAGGAGTTAGCTTTAATCCAACTGAAAAGCGTACCCCCACCCCCGTTTCACGAAAATACCCCTAATATCTTCCAGGGTTGAGATGCACGTCTGGTATTAACGCGGTCTTCGCACTACATATACTGTTCCCTTTCTATAAAACATGCGTTATACTGCATGTATTAGTAAGCTTTAACCCAAATATATTTGCATAATTATTCAATTCAAAATTAAAATCTTTCGGTGACCTATCTGGTACAGCCAATAATAAGTCAGTGTCACCTGCATGTATAGGTTGTAATTATTGCTACTTTTTATGTATCCATCTTTCGGGTTGTTTCAGTCTCTGATATTTTTCTTGCTATTTCTATATATTTTCCTCTCTGAGATTTGCCTGTAGCATTTTTCTGTATGATGTAAAGGAAACGGATCTACCTCTGATTTACTCTAATATTACATTGTATCTACAGATTGATCATTTAAAAAAAGAAGCTGTATATACTACTTAGAGCATCATTTAACTAATAGATGATGAATATAAGACATACACTTTAAGGATTGAACGTCTGTCATATTGCAGTTACAACCAATATGAATGCAATCTGGGTGATAGATAAATAGGACGTCATGAGTATTTATCTGTCACCCAGATTGCATTCATATTGCAGACGGCCAATATCGGACCGAACACTTTCCAAATAACGGTCGTCATGAACAAATGTAACCAGGCGACAACTGTTAAATGCAGTTACATGCTATAGTTATGTGTGCAGGACATTCTAATACAAAAGTAAGAACTTCCCTTCCTATTCTGGATGT